CGCAGTATCTTTTGCATGCACACGTGAACACTGTTTTGGGCGGGCTCCCGCCCAAAAGCGCTGAACACTGGTATTTCGGTCCAAATTTCGAATACCCGCGAAAGGGCTGGAAGCATGGGTGTTTTCGTGATTTTCCGCATATGTATAGTGTATGCGGTAACTTCTGGATGCATAGGTAAAAAGCGGGGAAGCCCGCGGAATGCCGCTAAAAAATGGTAGTTCGGTTCAACTTTTCAATACCGGCCAAATTTAACATAGGATATCTTTTAAAAACGAACAATGATAAGCGGGCTTCAGCCCGCTCAGCTGGCGGGCTTGCCCGCTAGTCTATACTATTAAAATCTGTGCGCGTCTGTGTTTGTTGTTTGTTTGTTTGTTTGTAACATCATCTTCTCAAGAACGGCTGGGTGTAGAGCTTAGCGGAAGGTACCGTTGGATTCGTCGAATGTCCGTGGGAAGCCATTTTGACCATTGGCATCTTCGTGCGACTTTAATTAGCCGAGATATTAATTAAAAACTAATTTTCTCCCCTACTTTCCCTACGTTTTTCACTTTCTTTACTCGGGTTTTCCCTGTTTTAGGGATTTGGCCTGCGTGCCAAATTCGTTTTTTTTCTCGAATATCTCCGGAACGGCGCCGAGTTGGAATTCGAAACGCATATCCCCGGATGCCAAAAAAAATCAACGAATCCATCGATACCGGTCCCATCTTCGTACGACAATAATCGGCGGAGTTATTAATTTAAAACTGCGAAATCAATTATTTCAGCGCTAATTCTTCCAAGTGGCAACAGTCTCGGCAGTCGCTTCGGAGATAAAAATGCTTCTAATCGCCAAGGCCCTTCGCCTCTAAAAAACTAAGAATAAAAAATGAAAATAACTTAAAGGAATAAACTGAAAAGCTAAAATAAAACTAAAAATAGAAACATTCTCTTCATTTAGTTGTCGTTAATTGATTGCAGATTGGTTTAATCGACGTCAAACATAAAATAAAAGTTTTGCTTTCCTGGTTTGGCAACAGATCAAATAGAATCAAAAGTTTAGTTTCCTGGTTATGGCAACAAAAAATTTATTTACGAATTTGTGATTTCGGAAGGATACCGTACGAAAATTTTTTCTCTGATACCAAATATCGTAAATATTCATATTATTACATCATTGCACCTAATCTTTATTTCTTTTTACAGGACATTTGATTGTTTTTTTGCATTTATATTTGTAGTTTTAGTAACTTTAAAGTAGTATTTCTAGACTTTTATATGCTTCTGTTAGGTTAGAACTTGAGAATTCTTAGGAACATTCAATTTTTGTGATATATTTTTAATATTTTCTTCTGTATTTTTTTTAAAGATCTATTCATTCGTATTATATATGTGTGTTTTTGTTGCTTGAAAAATTTCATTTACGTTTTATATTTTTGACATTTTACTGTGTGCGGTAACAACTATCGTTTTAAGGCGATCGAATGTTCTTTTATTAGATGTATTAGTTCATTTTTGCTTTTAAATTTCAGAATTGATTTCATAGCTTTTTAATTTATCTTTGCATTTATACTTTTATTTATTTTGTGTTTAATAATTTTCATTTTCTTTTACGTGAGTTGTTGTACGATAATAACTATCGTTTTAAGGTGATCGAATGTTCTTTTTTTAGATGTATTAGTTCATTTTTGCTTTTAAATTTCAGAATTGATTTCATAACTTTTTAATTTATCTTTGCATTTATACTTTTATTTATTTTGTGTTTGTAATTTTCATTTTATTTTTATGCGCATTGTTTTCAGATTAGCTGAATTATTAGAAATATTTTCATGATTGTTATGTGTGCTTAGAATTTTCATAGTATTACCCATATTATTTGGTATTTACCAGCAATTTTGTAATCGGCAAGTTTTGGTTTCAGAATTTTTGACTTTTTTAAATTAAGTAGCTCTTGAGCGGATAAGTTTTCATTTAGTCTGGAATTATTTACATTTAGAATGCATTAACTAATTTTCAGGAGTACTGTTTTAACGAACAAGTTTTTTTCTTTCATCTTTTACGTTCGATTATTACTTTTTTTAGTTCAGTTATTGTTTTAGTAGAGTAGTATTTTTTTTAACACACTGAAATGCCGAAACGGAAAAGAAGCATTACGGGAGATGCATCGAGAAGACGAAGAGCTGAAGCACAAAGGTTACGGCGAGCTACAGAAAATGAAGAAGAAACCGCTAGCAGACTGAGTGCGCAAGCAGAGCGCCAAGCAAACCTACGTGTTCAAGAAACGGAAGAAGAAACCGCTAGCAGACTGAGTGCGCAGGCAGAGCGCCAAGCAAACCTACGTGGTCAAGAAACAGAAGAAGAAACCGCTAGCAGACTGAGTGCGCAAGCAGAGCGCCAAGCAAACCTACGTGGTCAAGAAATGGAAGAAGAAACCGCTAGCAGACTGAGTGCGCAAGCAGAGCGCCAAGCAAATCTACGTGGTCAAGAAACAGAAGAAGAAACCGCTAGCAGACTGAGTGCACAAGCAGAGCGCCAAGCAAACCTACGTGGTCAAGAAACGGAAGAAGAAACCGTTAGCAGACTGAGTACGCAAGCAGATCGTCAAGCAAACCTACGTGGTCAAGAAACGGAAGAAGAAACCGCTATGAGACTCTGCACGCAAGCACAACAGCAAGAAAACTTACGCGCTCAAGAAACGGAAGAAGAAACCAGTTCGAGACTCTGCAGGCAATCACATCGGCAAGCAAACCTACGTGCTCAAGAAACGGAAGAAGAAACAAGTAGGAGACTCAGCAGGCAAGTGCAACGTCAAGAGAACTTGCGCACTCAAGAGTCGGAACAGGACGCTACTACACGAAGAACGCAAGACACTGCACGTCACAGACAAGTCAGATCCGAAGAAACAATGTCTGTACGAGAAGACAGGCTACGCAGGAATGCAGCACGACGTTCGCGTAGCACTCTGCACAATGCAGGAAGATGTGCACTCGAAGTTTACGTTGAGCAACACACCGCCGGTTCAATGGAAGCTTCCTGCGATCTCTGCAACGGATTGTTCTTTACGGGAGAAAGGAACGCAAGGGGAAGATACATGCACTGCTGTAACAATGGGAAAATTGTCGAAGCTGAAAGAAGATATCCAGAAGAATGGTGCAATCTAATGAATGGGAACCACCCGTTTTCTGAAGAGTTTTTTGCCAACATACGTACTTACAACTGCCTGCTCAGTTTTGCTTCATTGGGTGCCAATATAGAAATGCCTTCGGGTTCGGGTCCCTACTGCTTCAGGATTCACGGTGCCATATATCATCGAACGAGCCACCTTCATCCGCCTCATCCCGGTCAAGAACAGTATGCTCAGCTGTACATTTTAGATTCGGATCAAGCCCTCAGGCAGAGAATGAACATATTTGGAAATGTTGCCCTGAACGCCGAACTGCTGAGACAGTTGGACACAGTTTTAAGGAACGTTAATCCATATGCGGAAGCCTACAAGATGCTGAAGGAATTCGAAGAAGAAACTGTACGAGAGCAAGGTGCCGAAACTGCTGCGGATATCCGCATGTACATCAAGGGTGAAAGTGTAGGTACGGGCGAACACAGAGGACGTTACAATGCTCCGAAAGAAAATGAAGTTGCAGTCGTCTTCAAGAGTACGGACGGCGCTCCTCCATCGAACCGAGACATCGTGATCCATCCGAGAGGTGGCGGTCTCATCAACATCAGTACCTTAAATCCCAACTTGGAACCCATGACGTACGTACTTTTCTTTCCTCACGGCGAGCAAGGATTCAGAGTCGGACAGCAATACACAGAGTTACAGTCACAGGGTGTCCGTACGACGAGATTGCTACAACCCGATTTTGTATGGCCGGAAATTGTTTCAGCAGTATCTCGTGGATGCATACGTAAAAGTTGAAGGCAACAGGATTGCGTACCTCCGGAGCCATCAGACGAATCTGAGAGTGGAAACTTACATGGGTCTTGCCGATCACATTTACAGAGTTGGTCAAGAGACGGGCGTCCGCCCTGGAATACCGGTTATACTTCCGTCAACGTTTATAGGAAGCCCTCGCTGCATGCAGCAAAACTATCAGGACTCGATGGCCATTGTGCGCGACTTTGGTAAACCGGATCTGTTTTTGACTTTCACGTGCAACCCTAAATGGCCGGAAATAACAGAAAACTTATTCCCAGGACAGAAGGCTCACGATCGCCCGGACATCGTTTCGAGGGTATTTGACCTGAAGAAAACGGCTTTGATGCAAGATTTGACAAAGAATCACATCTTAGGTGCGACCATTGCAGATATACACGTCATCGAATTTCAGAAGAGAGGATTGCCTCATATGCACCTTTTGTTGTTTTTAGCGGAAGAAGACAAAATAAGAGATGCAGAGTGCATCGACTCGCTGGTGTGTGCTGAACTTCCAGATGCTACTCGACATCCGGAGCTACACGACATTGTGAAGTCATCGATGATTCACGGACCCTGCGGTGAACTGAATCGAAACTCTCCCTGCATGAGTGATGGTGTATGTTCGAAAGGATTTCCGAAACCGTTTCAGGCAGAAACTAAAGAGAACGTGAATGGCTACCCACTCTACAGAAGAAGGGACGATGGAAACTTTATCGTGATCAAGGGTCATGCCATCGATAACAGATGGGTCGTTCCTTACAATCCGTATTTATCGAAAAAGTACAACGCCCACATAAACGTTGAAGTATGCAGCTCCATAAAATCGGTGAAGTATTTGTTCAAATACGTGTACAAGGGTCATGATGCAGCTAAAGTTGTTCTGGAAGAATCTGGAGATAGAACTTTAATGTGGGACGAGATCAAATGCTTCTTAAATGCAAGATACGTGTCTGCCCCTGAAGCAGCGTGGAGGCTGTTTGAAAAAAGAATGCATTCTAAGTCGCACTCCATCATACGACTACCGGTTCATTTGGAAAACCTGCAGCCCGTCTATTTTGCCGAATCCGAAGAAAGGAATGCTTTCCAGAGAGCTGCCGAGAAAAATACCATGCTCACCGGATGGTTTGAACTGAACAGGACAGTTCCCGAAGCGAATGGTTACCTGTATGCCGAAATTCCTAAACATTTCACCTGGAGGAATCATGCCTGGCAGACACGAGTTAGACTTGGAGATTACATCATTTCAAGAATGTATTCTGTTAGCCCGAAAGATGTTGAGCGTTTCCATCTGAGGTTGCTGCTGTGTCACGTTAAAGGAGCGAAGAGTTTTGCCGACTTAAGAACTTACGAAGGTGTGGAGTATTCAACGTTCAAGGAAGCCTGCCGTGCAAGGCATCTGCTGCAAGACGACGAAGAATGGAAAAATACTCTGGCAGAAGCATCAGCTTTTCAAATGCCACCGCAGCTAAGACAGCTTTTTTGCTTCATCTGTGTTTTCTGCAACCCTGCGGAACCCGTCGCTTTGTGGAATGAATTCAAAGAGTCCCTTTCTGAAGATTTTGCGAGATCTTACTCCTTAGAAGACAGTTTCAGCCTTGCACTGAGAAGTATAGAAGACCAGTTAGAAGTGCACAATGTTTCGCTATGTTCTCTTGGTCTCCCGCAACCAACATTGACTGATGCTGTTTCTCTCGAAGTCCCGCAGTTCGATGTCCAGTATGAAAACGAACAAGCCGAAGTGTTGAACGGGATGTTGAATCCTGAACAGAAATTAGTTTACGACTTGGTTTTGGAAGCTGTACGAGATGAGAATCCTAACACACCGAAGACATTTTGTGTTAATGCGTTTGCCGGAGCTGGAAAAACTTTCCTTTTTAGGACGATCCTTCATGCTGTTCGAGGAATGGGCCACGTTGCCATTCCCGTTGCGTGGACAGGCATTGCTGCTGTGCTGTTGACCGGTGGAAGAACTGTACACTCTACTTTCAAGTTGCCCGTTCCACTTCTGGAAAATTCTTCGTGCCGTGTGAGACAAGATAGCGCTGAAGGAAGGTACTTGAAGACTGCGAAACTTTTCATATGGGATGAATGCACCATGACGCCTCATTACGCTTTGGAAGCTGTCGACAGATTGCTGAGAGACTTGACCGGACTGGATGTTCCTTTTGGCGGTAAAACCTTAGTTTTAGGAGGTGACTGGAGACAAACATTACCTGTTGTCGCACATGGAAACCGAACTTCTGCGATCGAGAGCTGCCTCAGGAACTCCTTTTTGTGGCCACATTTCAAACAATGCACGCTTTCCACCAATATGCGATTGAATCCGGAAGAACAAGAATTTTCAGAATGGCTTCTGCAGTTGGGAGACGGTCGTCTTAAAAATGACAGTGGCTTGGACGAAGACATTATCGAAATTCCATCTTTGTGTGTGGTCAACAGATCGATAGTAGAAGAAATGTTTGGCTGCGGTAATGAATTCGACTTACAAGACTTGGCCAGTAAAGCGATTTTATGTCCAAAGAACGAGGAAGCTCTGAAGCTTAATGAAGAAATTCTTTCCACGTTTCCAGGTCAAGTTTTCACGCACTACAGTGCAGACTCGGTTATTTGCGATGACGAAGAAGAACAAGAAACGTATCAGCTGGATTTCATCCACAGCCTGACGCCTTCTGGAATGCCACCTCATCGTCTGAATTTGAAAGTTGGAGTTATAGTTATGCTTCTACGAAATCTACATCCATCGGTTGGACTCTGCAACGGAACAAGGCTCATTGTGAAGAGAATTATGCCAAACGTTTTAGATTGTGAAGTCATCTCTGGACAGAATGCTGGATCGAGAGTTTTCATTCCACGTGTTGAACTTTCACCATCAGATTCAAACCTCCCCTTTCAGCTCAAGCGAAGACAGTTTCCCATCAGGCTTGCATTTTGTATGACTATTAATAAGTCACAGGGACAGACACTTAAGAAAGTTTGGATTTATTTACCGCAACCAGTTTTCAGTCATGGAATGCTTTACGTAGCTTTTTCAAGATGTTCGTCTATGAGGAATGTTCGTGTTTTAGTGAAAGACACCAAGAAGCAAGGCCGTTTGATGCCCGCATGTTCTAAAGTATTCACAAGAAATATTGTTTACAGGGAGGTTCTGCAGTAAAAAAGTTACTCGAGACATTGAAACAGTGAGATTTTTGCAACACAAAATGAAGTTAATCAAGCCAAAGCAAAAATGAAAAAGATTTGAGGTTTTTTGGATGACTGGGATAAATTGAAGCAAGTCAAGATGAAGCTGAAACAGTTTGAGAATTATGCATTAGTCGGCTTTTATGTCTGTTGTTACAAAGTGGAATTTGGTAGTAGTTAGGCAATCGGAAGCTGTATTATTTTTTCAATGTTGTAAATATTTTTTATAAATTTTCCTTTTCAGGTCTACATACAATTGCGTTCATTAATTTTAAAACATTTTATGTATTTTTCTTTTTTAGGTATTTATGGAACTGATTTCAATCACATAAAAATATTTCTTTTTCAGGTGTATATAGAAATGATTTGATTCAAATTAAAATGTTTTTATACATTTCTTTTCAGATGTACATAGAACTTGTAAATACTTTTTTTCAGGTGTATATAGAAATGATTTCATTCAAATTAAAATGTTTTTTCTTTTCAGGTGTACATAGAACATGTAAATTTTTTTCAAATGTAAATAATTTTTCTTATTCATTGCATGCATTTTTGTAAACACACACAAATATATATATATCTTAATTGTGCGTGTGTGTATATATATGTATATACAATTGCATCAATATATATATATATATACATATTTATATATAGTGATGCAATTTTGTCTATGATTCTGTAACAGCAGACCAGGGAAGGGGCTGATACCTGGGAGAAAAAATAACCCCCTGGTCGATGAGGTTGCAGAGGAGACCCCAGGTGTCAGGCAGTTCATGCCGTCAAAAGCCCACCAATTTTTTCTGTTTACAATTTTTTTTTTTCTGTGCAAGTTTTTGAGTTTAGTATAAACTTATAACTAAGTAATTATTATTATTATTATTATTATTATTTTCTTTTCAGATAAATACGGATTGTAGCTCGCCCATCTGGCGTACTTACTCGGTAGATTTTAAAAATTATTTTCTGTTTTTCTTTGAACTATTGACGCAATAACTGATTTCATTCATATAAAATATTTTGTTTTGCATGATATTTAATATACTCAAGGGATAGGCCTGTAATGTCTTTCCCAAAGTTGTGTCTTTTATAGACATAGGTACAGTAAAATATTTTACGGGTTCACACGACTGACATTTTATGAAACGTTTGGAAAAGTTTCTGTGTGCTGCCCTACTGTGTTATCCAAAGAACAACAGTTGCAGTAGTTGATGATAATGTGTGTACAGCCCCAAATAATTGGAGACAAGGATATTTTGGAGTTTGTTCAAAGCTAAAAAAATATCATTGATGCAGATTCCGACAAAGAAAACGAAATGAATAATGCAGTTCTCGTGGATGATTTTGTTTCATTGATTTTTTTTATTAAATACGTGCCTATATGCATATCTGTGCAAATAAAATGTACTCTAATAAACTTAATTTTGTTGAAAATATCAATATCCTTTAACACGAAAAAATTCTTCAGTCCCTTCGGTTTCGTGTTAATAATAATGAAAATTTTAATCATAGATTTAAAATTATTTTTCTGTTTTTTGATTTAAATACAAAATATTTCCACAAATTTCACACAGAAACTATTTTAGACACCAGCAAAGAATTGAGTGGGTGCAGCCCACCCATCTGCAATACTTACTCG